TTTTTTTTTTTTTTTTTTTTTTTTTTTTTTTTTTTTTTTTTTTTTTTTTGCGCATTAGCGAACTCGACCTTCTTGCTTCTGCTTCATCTATCACTGTTCGTGTGAGTGTTTCTCTTTTGAGCATAACGCTCTCTTATAAGTACATTTTTACATCTCGTAGCTTTAGTAAATCGCTTGGTTCTATTCATCTTCGACGCAAGAGCACTTCATTAGCGAATTATTACGTGCTCCTTCAACGATGGCTATTGCAAACCTTGTGTTGTCTGTTCATTTGGGTGTTTCTCTCTTGAGCGTGACGCTCTCTTATCAGTGCATTTTTACATCTCGTAGCTTTAATAAACCACTTGGTTCCGTTCATCCTCGATGCAAGAGCACTTCATTAGCGAATTATTACATGCTCCTTCAACGTTGACTATTACAAACCTCGTGTTGTCTGTTCGTATGGGTGTTTCTCTCTTGATCGTAACGCTCTCTTATAAGTGCACTTTTACATCTCGTAGCTTCAGTAAATCGCTCGGTTCCATTCATCTTCGACGCAAGAGCACTCGATCAGCGAATTATTACGCATTATTTCAATGATGTCTATTGTCAATTTTACGACCTCTCACCCGATCTCGAGAAAGTGAGGTGATAATTAAAAAAAATTATATGCAAGGACAAAAGAACAATAATCATAAAGCAGTAATTATTGTAATTATTTCAATAATTAACAACTTCTTTTTTTCTTTTTTTGCAAGTATATAAATTTATAATAAAAAAAAATGAACAAAAACAATAAATTTAGAAAAACAATAAAAAAAAAAATATGGATAATTAATAATTAGTTTTTCTATTATTAATTGAGAGGTGAAATTGAGAGTTTAGCATTCAGTTCTGGATGAGTTGGGGGCCATCTGTCCGTCCTCCACAAAATAATCTCAATTCTCATAAATAAATAAAAAACAATGAAATTTTTTAAAAAATAAATTAAATGTGTTATAAAAAAAAAGGGGAAAAAAATTTGGAGAAGAACGAGGATGACGAAAAGATCGGCGTGAGAGAATTGTTTCGGCTGCCGATAAATCTGAGGCCCGTTGCTCGATAATTCTTCGTCCCGAAGCCCAACGGACGAACCCTGTTATTCTCTGGATTTACTGACGATTGATTTTCCAGTTCGTTCTGTTTTTTTGTTGGTAACGAATAATTTTCCTCCTAATTTTTTCCTTTACGGTTTCTTAATTTTGATTCTCTTTAACTAAATTCCTCTGGTTTGAATCTTACGGTTTTGTGTGATTTTGATTTCAGAGACTTAGAGGAGGAGGCGGAGTAAAGAAGCGGTGAGTATGGTGGAAATGTTGCGTAGAATGGCCTTGATGTCGAAGAAGAAGAAGAGTGGAACGGTGCCGGTTCATTTGAATGTTTATGATCTAACGCCGATCAATGGCTACGCGTATTGGTTCGGTCTAGGGGTTTACCATTCCGGTGTTCAAGGTTAGACAATTTATGGCGTTTTTCTTCTTCTTCTTCTTCACTTTTTGGTATGTTGTTGTTGAACGGCAACGATGAGGATTTTTGGTTTCTTTCAGATGTTTTTTAGTTTAGACTGAGGGATTTCTGAAGTGCGTTCTTCATTTTTCTTGATTCTTCGTTGCGTTTTCCTTCAGATCTGAGGTTTAACTCGCTCTGTTTTTAGATGAAATTCGTGATTCTTGAGAAATTTGAGGAACATAGCGAGGTTTTATGACGGTTCTGTTAGATTCTTTTGGTTTGGTTGTGAGTTTACTGTTTAGTTTGAGGAAATATCGTTCTGTAATGGCTATAGATTGATTTGGCTGAGATATTGATGAATTGATGTTTGGAAAAACTCAGTTTCTTCATATTTCCAATTGTTTTCATGATTTTCTAGTGACCATAATCAGTTTCATTTGTGTTCGACCTTTTCAGAGTTTTTTTTTTATGATTTGAACAGTCAATGTTTCCAATGGAGTTTGATTGTTTAATTTATTCTATCAAGAACAAGCTGTTCAAAATTAAAAACTCTGAACTGGGATGGATCTTTTTGCAGTTCATGGAGTTGAATATGCATTTGGAGCTCATGACCATGCAACTTCAGGGATATTTGAGGTAGAACCAAGGCAATGTCCTGGTTTTACATTTAGGAAATCGATTTGCATCGGAAGAACGAATCT